TGCAATAAATAGGAAATGCTTGTTCAAACAACAAAATAAATACCATCAAGCAGTGAAGGATAACAGTAAGAAAAAAATAAAGGCAAGTAAACCCAGGCAAAGTGATAATAACATTTCTAGCAGGTGCAAAACAGCACACTTCAGGAGGTTTCAAGTAGTGCAGATGACCCTGGAGTTTCTAATGAACCAATGCAGTAAAACCAACATCAGTTCGCCCTATCATGAGAAAAGGCCAAAAGATGGTCAGGACTGTGCAAAAGTTTAATCTGTGCAGCACCTGAGGCTGTGGGATGTGCCCACATGCTTCCTTCACAGGGTGTGTTTGTTGAGGGAGTTACTGCAGAGGGTTCCCCAGCCAAAGTCCTGATGGCTTTATCTCTGGTCTCAGCCTTGTTCTGCCCATGCTGGGCACCCTGTGGCTGTGAGCCCAGAGGGAAGTGCCCAGCCCTTTATGAACTGGAGACAAAATAAAGAGGAGAGGGTAGATAATAAAGTGATTTGTTACACAAAAGGGAAGGCAGCACCTGCTGCAAAATCCCACAAACTGCCCAGCAGCAAGCATACATCCTAATGTGCCACTGGGAAGTCCCTCTGAGCAGCTGGGTCTGCCAGCACTGGGTTGATACACTCTGTGAAGTGCCTTCAGCTTTGCTCACCCAGTGGCTCTGTGCTGTGCCCCATGGAGGGGTTCCTGCTCAGAGCATTCAAGCTGGTGTCCCCATCTCACACTGACCAGCAGCACTTTGCTGCCTCTTAGCAGGGAGATGCAAAGGCATAACTGGATTGCATTTGCCACATGCTGAATGGGAAACAGCTGGAGGCAGATGATTGTTTGGGTTATTTGCCTGTTGCCTGGACATTTTGTTTGCTTGTTTGAGCCCTGAAAAAATATGTTTCCAGTTCCTCAGGAGGCTGGTCTGTGTTAAGCCTGTATATTGTGGGTTGATTTTAAAAACTGGTGTTTTATAACTTTGCAAATGAGTGTCCTGCTGTTTCAGTGGCAAGGCTCCATGAATAAGGCAGTCTTCTCAGAAATTTCCCTGCCACAGAGCCAGTGGGACTGGGGGAGCACGGGCAGCCAAAACAACATGCTTCTGGTGTCAGGGAAGCAGATATCCCTGAGTCTGGTTCCAATAGAACCTCTTTCTTCTTGACTGGATTTAAGTGGCTGACTAAAGGATAATGCTGGCTGATGTTTATGGACTGTGCTTAAAAGCCACTCAGCTTCCCTCACAGTCAGCTCCTCAGGTGGTGTACACCAGCATCTGTTGTGATCACAATACTGCATTTTTAACTGCTCTGTCTGTAGCACTTGCACATATCCCCTAGTTCCTTACTGATGGGTGTTTGCTTTTATTCTGAGTGCTGGGCAGTCCTTTGCTCTGTGAGAAAAGTGTCTTTTTTCTCACTGTATAGTGCAGCGTCTTGGCTGTGAAAAGCTGAATTAAGTAAGAATAGGCTGGTCAGGAAGCAGAGAGGGTGTTCTTGCCAGTTGATACTGGAGAAGTAATACTAAAAAGAATGCAGATTTGGCCAAGGCACTTGCAAGCAGTGCCATGGGTCTAGTCATGAGAGATGCGTGCAGCAATTCTTCAGCTTTGGGCTGTGGTGGCTGCACATCCTCTCAAATCACAGCACAACACCAGTTTGACACAGACATGGGACCAGAGTCAGGGGTTCCCCCCCTGCTTCACAAAACCCATCTCTTTAACACTTTGCATTTGTTTAGAAATCTCCTTATTAAGTACTGACCAGACCAAAGCCTGTTTGATTTGGCAAGTGCAGACCTGGGGGAGGGGATCAAAGGGAAAAAAAAAACAACAACACTGCAGCCGATTCATCCCTCCTTGTTTATTCCACTAGAAATAGATTTGGCAGAATGCATCAGGAATGAACTAATCAGCAGGGAATTAATTGGCGTGTTAGTTAAAAGGCAGGAAGAAGGCGGTGAACAAATTCATGACTGGATGGCTGGAGGGTTCAAGCAGCCAGAGAGAAGCAGTGCATAGTGGAAACTGTGACTAGCAGGAGAAGTCATGCAGCTGTGCCAGAGAGCCAGCGGCTGAGAGCTGCCCGAAAGAACCGGGGGCAAAGATAACGCGAGTGTCCTTGGAGACAGAGCTGTTTTTGAGAGGGCTCCATCACCCAGGCTTCCCTTCCCATAAGGCTCCCATGTGTGGGGAGGGAGAGGTGGCCAGTCTGCAGGAGTGGGAGGGAGGGGTAAGAGAGGTACAGCTGGAGGAGGCTCCACGGGAAGACTGTGGAAATGTGGAAAGCAGGGAAATGAAGAGGGACACGTCACTCGTTGCAAGCTGAAATGCAGAGGGGGTGGTAAGGGGAAGAAGGGAGCAGGGAGGCAGAGATTTGGAAGCTTCATCACAGAAGAACTGGCCTCAAGAGCAAAGGTAATGCTTGTATACGATTCTCTGCCTTCTTTCCCAGGAATGTTTTGTTTCTTCCTCTGGAGGAAACAGATCCATACACCTCAGAAAGAGGTTGTTGCATGGAGGGACTCTAAAGGCACCTGTGGGAAGAGCCAGGAGAGGAAGGAATATGTGCAGACTGGCATGGACGTGGCGGTTGGAGGGTTGCTACCTACAGTTCCTACAGAGAACAGGGGTGTGCAGAGTGACAGAAATAGGGAAAAAGAGAAAGCAAATCCTTAGTCAGGCAGACTGTCAGACAGACAGACATGCAGAGTGCAAGGTCCGTGAGTGTCTATCTAAGGAGAGAGAGCAAACTTCCTAAGAGGAAGGACGGAGTACTAAATGAGAGAGAGTTGAAGATAAGACATGTCCTGAAAAAGCAGGCACTCCTGGAGAAGAGGCAGAAGGTGAATATTACCTTCTCAAAACCAACTGTACCTTACAGATGTATTGCAGCAGATGTTTGCTTTGCACCTGGATGGCTTTTTGTTTTCTTTTCTTCTTTATCCCCACTATGTCTGCCTGCTGGCAACAGCATCACCTTAGCTGTCTGTCATCAGGGCTCTCAGTCAGATCTCCTTGTTTGACAGGGTGGTCGGGCTATTTCAGGGATTCAGATGCCCTTCTTTTTCACACAACATCCAGGCAGAAAATGAGCACTGTAACTCACTTATATGGGAAAGCACTATTTAACTCAAATTTGTAGCCAAACTTGAAAAACCCAGGAGGATATTGTTATTCCTACATGTTGTTATTCCAACCTCAAACCGTGTGTGTGTGTGCACCAGCATATAGGATTGTACCCACACATGTAAATTGAAGAATATTCTATTCCATTCCAATGGATTTATAACAAAGACTTCTGAAACAGGTGATACTCTAGCTGTACCACTGTGGCTGGCTTAATATTGTAGGATCCAATTTTTAAAATTATTTTTGGCCTTTTTCATGATCTTTCCACCATTACATAATTCTACAAGCATATGCTAATGTTGCTTTTTTTTGTTGTTGTTTCTTGGAGAGCTAACAAATGCCATCTGCTTTGCAAGTAGGGCTCTTGCAAATACTTTGATTGTTCTGGACTCACAGGCTTGACAGCTTTCTCCTCTAAAAGCTTAGAGACCTTTCAAGATCCCAGGCTGGGAGTCTCACAGAACTGGCATTAGAAATTGTATGCAGCCACAATATGCTTTTTTTTAAAAATAAGAAACTGTTTGGTTTATGTAACTGAAACCTTCTTGAACCTAATACATAAAACAGAATCTTTCAGTTGGGTGTGTGTAAGTAATAGAACCTTAAAATATTGCAATGGAAATAAAGGAGATAGAAGGAAAAAAAGACAGAGAGGAATTCCAACAGTATGCAAAACTAGCTTTATTATCTATTGAGATACTCTACAAAATAGAGAATCTTAAACATACTTTGATGTTTAAATACCATTATCATTGGAGTGAGAGCTACATTTTACGTATGTATGACTCACCTGAGATCAAACTCCCTGATACACTTAGAACTATATTTTATTTCCCTGCAAACGGCTCAAAATCCAGAATCACTCTTCAGCTTCAGTCTGACAGTAGCTCAAAAGGAACTTGAAAAAGTTATGAGAGGACAACAGACCTCAAATGAAAAGCATTAATGTAATTCATTTGCATTTCAATGTTCAAACGCAGAAAAAAAAAATCCTTAATTTTAGGTATCACTGCAGGGATTGATAACTGTAATCAACAACATCCTCTTCCCAAAACAAGCATGGGTTTGAGCTAACACACTGGGATGCTGATGCACTCAGAGAGGGCATGTGTTTGGAGCAGTCAGAGGTGCAGGGGAAGGTTTTGAGCCCCCTTGGTGTACAAGGGGCAGGCAAACTCTGCATTGCAAAGCAAAGACTCGCATGTCTGCAATAGGATGTGTGTGTTCTCCTCAGGCTTCAGGGGAGACAGGGGTCTCCCCTGAAATGAAGCTGTGTTTGGTACTAGAAGCAGATGACCTGGGCAAATCCCGCATATCCTGGCAGGCAGCACAACCCACAAGCAGTGGTGCACTTCAGTCATCATGCTCAACCCCACTGTCAAAGTCTGAGGCAGATACCAAGGAAATCTCAGGGCTCTGTTGGGATTACCCACTGCATTGTGAGGAGGGATGAGCACTGGAAATGGAGCAGCAAAAAACCAAAGGGGTTAATGGAAGAGGGAGTATGGGAGTTCAAATACTGGCAGTACTCCTTTGCTTTGGGGCAGGGATTCTGGCTTGGAAGGCACAACTGCTGATCCCAGCAGGACTGTGCTCAGGGTATTAAGCTAGCTGAGCTCTTTAATCATGCTGAAGTAAGGAATCAAAAGGTTAAATGATGAAAAAAATATTGTGTAATAATGAGACAAATATGTTGGTCTTCACTGCCTGCAGATGAAGGGACTGTCCAGTGAATCACTGAGCCTACTCTGCTCCAAGGGCTGAATGTGATGTAATTTTCTGACAGCACTTCACGTTATTGTAATTAATAGTAACAATGACAAAGCTAATATGTTGATATTGTTATTCTCTGCATTTAGGAAAGAGTTTCCATCCCCATCCAAGGATGTGAGAGAGTTGTCCCTGCTTGTCCATCTGTGCTCTACCCTGATAGTACTTTCCAGTGCAACTCTGCAAAAGAGCAGAAGACATTTGAATCGGCTGGGGATCTGGTTCCTATTACAGATGACCCCGCAGACTTTTTCAGCTAGGAGCTTTGTTAGTGAATATCCATTTGCTGTCTACAATTCCACCTAAGAGAGTGAAGATTGCTCATTTTCTGTGTGCCTGAGGTATGAGAATCTACTTCAAAGATGATTATAACCTGATGTTTACTGTGACAATAAATTACAGTAGACCCTCAGGAATGCAGGGAGCAAAGCTACAAAGAAACTGGTCTGTGAGGGGCCCTGCAAATAGAACATGTGGTTATTTGGATTCATTTGGACACCTGATGTTTTAAAAAGTTGGAGCTCAAGTAGCATGGATTTTCAGTCTAAGATGTAGGTGGAATTTATTACCACCCTACTTTTAACAAATAGAGAAAGATCAAAGTATCCCAGCTGTGGGGTATCGAAACAAGTGGGAGTTGGAAAGGATAAGAAATGGACAATCTCTACAGGAAGTTTTCCAATTAGCTTGGAAGCCACACTGTCTCCTTAATGTTGGCAGCATTTTCAAATCATTTGCAATTAGACACATAGGTGTCTGGTAAGTCCTTTCCCATCAGGGAAGATTAAAAAGGCATTTGCAGGGCATAGTCATTCAAAGAAAGAGAGGAAAAAAAAAGCTGTAAAGGCTGGCACATTTATCTGGAAAAGCTGAGAGGTGGAGGAGGTATGGTATCAATGCAAATAGTTTCAAGAAGGTCCATGAAGACCTTTTCATTATGAGCCTTGGTGATATTGTCAGACCTTCTTAAAGATCTTTATTTTGGCAGCTCTGAGTTAGCAGGAAGAAAAGGTGTATGCATGTGTGAGATAGGAAGAAGGTAATTTATTTTTCCTTTAAATGAATACTGCAATTAGATGAAGAATACTAAATACAAATTACATCCTGACAGATGGAAAGTAATGTTTTTAAAGTATCATGACATTTTCCATTAGTATGGTTGTATTCATAATGATACTTTAAATAGTGGAAAAATAAATGCAGTTGCAATTAAAATGCACTAGTGATCAAATGTAAGAGAGGCATAAAGTGAAAGAAATTATTTATTTACTGCTTTATCTGCTACAGCTTCTGGTAGGTTTTGAGGTGACTGAATTCTTCCCAGATGGTTATATTATATTAAAAAAGAAATTTAATGTCCTCATATTTTGCAGTGAGATCTTAAGCTCTTGATGCATGTACCTGAACAGGAGAATAATTCAGATTTTCTGGATGTGCCTGCTTCTCACATGAGCCCTTCCATCACTGTGACTACAGATGACCAAAATCATCACTAAACCCCATGAACTTGGCAATGCATTTTTTCTGTCTGCTATGTGCAATATGTGTATAATGGATATTTTCAGCCAATTTCTAGCAGAACAGCTGTTCATGACTTTTTTTTTTAATTAAAGTACCAGATTCAACACTGAGGGACTAATTTATTAGGAAAGAATAACAAATCAGCATGAGTAAGCTGTAGAGAGACTGATCTATCCTCTTAGGTTTAGAGATGGTACTTGCCCAGGAGGGCTTGTAGGTTAGGGCTGGCTTGGGAATGATGGTAGACTTGAAAGAAAACAAGGAGTCGGGTAAGTGTTCACATCGGTTCATATACATGTCCTGCCGACTCTGCAGCTTTGCTCAGGAGGAACTGACCCCGTGACACCAGGGCAAGGTGGAGATTGTACATGGGGTTTGGAGTTACCTTTGAGGCTCCATCAATGGGCAGCATCTAAGATATTGCCACTGGTTAGTGATCAAAAAGAACATTATTTTTTTTTAATTTTGGCTACCATGAGACACTTGATAATTTGTTCAATGGTTGTTTACCTTGTTTCTCCCAAATACAGAGTAGGGATGCAGTGATTTTCCCAGTCTGTAGTACCTCCTCCTGACACTGCTAGAACAATTGTAGCCATAAGGTGCTATCCCAACACAGCTACATAGGAAGCAAAGCTACTTCCCCAGCTGCTGCTGGTTGATGAAGCATCTCAGTACCACTCTGTTGCTTGAAAAGGAAGTAAAGTTCATACCTGAGAAAAAGAAAAGTCACTGTGCTTCTGTAAAACCTATTCTGAGCAACTTGAACAACATTTTAAATAAAAACATCACCAAAGAGAAATTTGGTGTTGTGATGACAGATGGGAAGTGGAGAAAGAGAAGAAAAAATAAATAAAGCACTTAGCAAGACATTTTATCTCCACAGAGACAGGGGAAAGTCAAGATCCTACAATGGCCATCATGGTGACTCCTCCTCTTTTCCTCCTCTTCATCCTTTTGCCCTGCAGTAAATCTCAGGAGGACTTTCTGGACCAGCATCAGAAATGGAACTACAGAGAAGGCGGTAGGAGGTCACAGTGGTGGTTCAGCATGGGAGGTGTTCAGTAACTCAGAGATGCAGGTTCACTTATTTTGTCCTTGGAGTGGGATAGACAGCGCTCATCCATGACTGCTCTTTCTTCATTCCTGGGTAGCTGATGGAGACTTCTGGAGAGAAAATGCTTTTAGAAATAATCATCTGGAGTATTCAGTGAGAGCAGAAACTCTAGGCACCTGGAGGCAGAGAATTACACTGTGAGGAAGAGTTACCTGCTTTTTAATTTAGATCCTCCACGTGTTTAAAATTTGATATTTCATCACAACTGAGTTGTGATGGGGAATGAAATCAAACTCGGAGCACTGGCTTGTAGGCTTGTATTTCCTTGTGCTGACACATTTGTTTTCCTCTCTTCCATGGACATCCTGCTAACCTAGCTGACAAGGTCAACATAGAAGGTGTTTACAGCATTACTCAAACCCTCGAGAAATGGGGAAATGACATCTTCTGGCAAATGAAGCATACCCTGCTGAACAACCCAAATGCTCTCCTGCCTGAGTTCTCCAGGTAATTCCTCTCATCTGGAGGTAGGATTCAGTCCTCTCCTGGGTGTCCTTCCCTGAGCAGGATTCATCTCCTAAAAGATGAATTTTCATATTTCTCAGTTGGGGGGAAATAAAACATTATCTCAGTACCTGTTCTGCTACCAACTCTGATCAGTAAACTGAATACTCTGCTAACTATTCATTGTGAAACTCTCAACTGCCGTGACTGTATTACAAGAATCTTCCTAAAGAAAATGCCCTTGGCAGCTCACACTTGTGAGAACAGGCTGAAAAAACAAACTGTTCTACAAATCCACACATGGGCTTGGCCACAGATCAGGGATAAGAAGCTGATTTGGTCTGTGATGTTTTTTATATTTCAGTCTCTAACACCTAGATCTGAGAAAGCTATTCACTAGTTCATGTCATCATATTCTCCCTTTGCGTTTCTGGCGATATTAACTGTTGAACAAACTCATAAAATTTAATTCAATCTTGTATTTCCAGAAAGAGAGTAGGAAAGGCTGGGAAAGAAAGAGAGGAAAAAGGAATATTGGGAATGACTAGAAAACTAATATTACTTAAATCAGAATTGTTCCTAAAGCAATGGCTGTCTTCCATAACTAATTGTTCTCTTTAGGAACAAGAAAAAAAAATGTTTGCAAATGTTACACATTGAACCAGTTGAAGAGGAAAGGTGAGAAGAATAAAAAAGGCATTGGGCAGGTGGTCAGATGGTATCTGTACAAATCAGTGTTTCAGGAGGATACGTCATAGATTGTACATTGGCCTTGGGCATCAAGTGGATTTCTCCCTGGCTGCATGGTGGTTGTTACTAGCACAGAATTCATCACAACTTTCCCACTGACAGTGCTGAAATTCATTGGTGCCTCAGATTATCAGGGATGATATTAAGTCTTGTATTTGGAAAGTTCTAACTTTAGTCCAGGAAGATGTGATGAGAGTATCCAGCCATATATCCTGTACTGGGCATTGAATTACGAGTTTGCTGGCAAGGACACAGACTGGTCCATTAGAAATGTTGAGGACTGACAGTACTCCATGGGAACCACTGGCCTAGCCTCCAGGTGTACTCCTAGTTGATTATTACTAATTAAAATAAGGTGGTGGAAGGACCATGTTGCTCATGCTGGTCCTGAAGCTTGTGCTTTCCAGGGTTCAGATGGGGGCCCTCAGCTGAACTCCCATCACCAAAGAGCAGGGTAGCTTAGAAACATCTTTTAATGGCCCCTTGCAACTCTTCCATTGTCAAGGGCCCTTACCCAACAAGAAACAAAGGTCATGGTAAATTACTTTGCATGCTCAGAAACACTCCCTAAACCAAGTTGTTCTTCTGTATTACTCCCGTTGCAGTCTCCGCCCTGTCTCTGCAGCTGTGGACAACCTTGTGAGGGAAGTCCAGTCGATAAGGAAAAGGCTGGAAGAACTGAACGAACGTCTCAATGTCATCAGCAAAACTGTCCTTCCCCTTCGACTGAATGCTCTGCAGAGCCAGAGGCGTGGAAATACTCAGCTGAGGAGACTCCCAACACACAGGAGAAGGTTATATGCTCGCAGGAGACCTCAGAGCAGACCTCAGAGCACTTAATTCTCTACCAGAAAAAAGGGGAAATCCTCTTTTTCTTTTTCATCTGCTTAAGCCTTTCTCAATGAGACATTGCTGGAGAGAAAGAAAGTAAAGCACACAACAAGTCAGCTTTGCTAAGGAGACCAGAACTTCTGCATTTTGTTGCTGCCTTAGGTCAGTAGGCAAAACCTGACCCTGTTCTTTAACGATGGCTGTTTTGTGTCCCAAGCAAAAAAAAGTTGACAAGCTCAGTCTTCTTGAGCATGAATACCTTCATTCTATACAGGCATTCTTTCTGCTTGCCAGAGGAAGCTCTTTCTATAAAGATCAGGTGAATTTCTCTCTCTGTCCTATTTTTAAAGCACTCCATCTGAAACAGCTGGGGAATTTGAACTTTGAAAGTGCTGAACAACTGATGAATGCAGAAAGATGGATTAGTGCTTGGCACTTCCAGCTGGGCAGGGAGAGGGAGAGGAAGTTATGTTTCAAAATATTGCCTTAACCTATTGTCCATGTTCATATGTTCAGAGGGTGAGTAGGGCTGGATAACTTTGGTCTGTACACCATGATTCAACACTGAAGATATATCAATTGCTAGGGACCAAATATGAACATCCACCTTCTGCAAAGAGTCTTTTTCTAGCTGTGTGGAACTGTGCACTCACAATGGTGTTACTCAGTAGATATGTTCAGAATTTCCAGTGCTCTGAAACACACGGAGCTGATTTTTGCCAAGACCCATGGAAACCAGGGGATTTTAAAATTGTTTTTCAAAACTATTTAGATACCTAATGGCAAAGATAGGTGTCTGGAAGGATTTTCCAAAATAGCTTAAGAGACTCTTCAGTCCCCAAAATCACAGATAATAATTCAATTGGTGTCTAGTTCACAGAGTATTTTCTCTGCATGCCAGCATTGACCTCCAGACACTTCCCACCATCCTTTAGCACAATTAATATCTGTAGAAAATTAACAACCACACTCTACAAAGACTTTGGTCCCTCAGGGATTACCCAGAATACCCTGCCTTCAGCTTTTCTTTGCCGGTGACAATAAAGCTGGTGATAAAAAAAGAGTGCATGAATCAAATTATGCACTGAATGGAGGATAGACTGGCCTTGCCCTTCAGGTCTCTAAATATAAATCCAATACAGAGATTTCCATTCAGCACTGCAGTCAACTGTGTACATGAAATGTGCTGAAACAGAAGAAAGAGACCCAGAGAGGAAAAGAAACAGGTTGTCTTTAAGGTCTGGATGAAGAAATTTATGAGAACACAAATAAAGAATGGATTATGTCTAAATGATTGTGGGAGTGTCTGGCATGTCAGTTGTTTTGAAAACACTCTCCAGTCACGGTGAGGATGCTGACTAGCTATTTAAGGATTCCCAAAGCCTGAGTTTATGGAAAGAAATTCAGTGACAGTACAATAACCTCCAAAAGGAAAAGGGTAAAATCTAGTTTCATATGAAATCTTTCAGAATGGACTAGAAGAATTAACACAGTAAGAATTTTAGCTGCAGCCTGGGAGTTAATTGAGTGGGGGAGGTATGAGACAATCTGGTAAATAATTCCCGGATGTAAGTTCTCTGAGCTCAGGTTTTCAGAAAATAACAAAACTCAAACTTGGCCTTCTTTGGTTTTTGCTTGGGAACTTGAAACGCTGCTTAGCTAGAGAAGGGAAAAATCAAGACTCTGAAAAGGCTGATAAAAAGATACAGTTGTGCCTTTGTTGAAGTTGTCATCATAATTTCTCAGGAAATGTAGAGCATTTTGATCGCAGAATATATTTACATAAATTACAAGGAATAACAGGAGAGAAAGGCCCCGAACTTCTTCAGGGCCTTTCTGCATTCTGCATTCAGAGTTTCTAGGCTATGCTGTAGCAACAGCTGCATCCTTGCACAGACTGCTGATCCCTCCAAGGGATGCTTTGCTTGGGGCTGTAGGGACTGCTTTTTATTTTGGCCTGTCTGGAGGAAGAGTACAACATAAATGTTAGCTTTCATGGTCGTATTTTAGACACAAGCATTTTATCAGGCAAGCTCAAGCTGTATAAATTGAAGACTACTTGAAACACAACCTAAGTCCCTCAAGTTACTGATGGCTGGTGGTGGGAGGCCAGACCAGATCATTGCATACTTTTACTTTACACCTAAATGTCCACCACCAGCTTCTGCCAGAGACAGAGAACAGAGCAAGGTGGACCCCCAGTCTAACCCAGTCCACGTATTCCTATGCTGATATGTGAAAGTTTGTAGTCTTAGCAAAACCTCCTCAGCACAATGGAGAAAGCCACCATCTATTTTAAAAGAGAACAAATAAGCTGCAGCATGCAATGTGTATTACAATTCTCCAATTTCTTGCATAATGGTGAATAAACCAACTAATATAAATGGTTAATAAATTACTAATCTGTGACCTTGTCACCTGTGTCAGCAGCCCTGTCATTCACTCTGTGAATGCCCATGCCAAGCTCCAGCCCAGCTCCCTGACCTGAACACAGCCTGTTTGATCAGATGATAACAGCCAGCTTCTCTAACCTCTATGTACGACCCTCTCTCTAGATGGAAAAGTTTTAGTGTCCTATTTATTTTACCATTTTATTTTTTGCTCCTAAAGTATGTAGGAAGGTTGTATGTGCCAGCCTACTTCTGCACTGTTCACCTTCTATTGAGGAGGCAGCAGTCCAGCTGAGCAACTTGAGATACCTCTGTCCCATCTGCCTGGGGAAGCTGGCCTGACCCATGGGACTGATTCCCAGGGACTGGTGTTTGATTTCTGCTCCTGCTAACCTCTTCTTAAGAGATCCTGGGTAAGGCGCTTGTCCTCAGACGGGGCTTTTACAACACAAAACCACTTGTCACAAGGTGTCTGTCTTCTATGCATATAAATGTATCCAGCTACAGAAGCCATCTAAGCTGCGTTAATTTACAGTATTTCTGGGAAAGGATCTGGACAGAACGTTTAAACAGAGATGACCAGTTGGGTGGTCAGTGGAGGGAGATCAACTATCATTAGGAACTTCTAAAATCTACCCTTCACCTAAGGCTTATAATTGACCAGACTGCCTCCTTAAAAAATGACTGTGTTCCCCTTATTTCTGTTTATTTTTTAAAAACCACAAAAGACCGAAAAAACAAGAGGTTATGATTTTGCAACTCCAGGACCATGGTGCCCTTCCACGCTAGGCATGACACACTTCGCCAGTACTTCCCTTTTCCTGTATTTCATTCCTTTCATATCCCCTCTCACATTTCCTGTCTCCCAGAGATGAATACCATCTGTTCCCACACTTCATGACTCCTCACACTTCTCGGTGCCCTCCACGCTTCACCCTCCGGGGCTGCCGCTGCTCTCGCACGGCTCCGGCCCCGCGGCTTCGGCGACCTCGGGCGCGCCCCGGGGGCCATGGCCGCGCTGCGGGCGGGGCGGCTCCGGCCCTCCCACCTCCTGCGAGCGGGGCCGAGCCGAGCCGAGCCGGCAGGGGCAGGGCCGAGCCCAGCGGGGCCGAGCCGAGCCGGCAGGGGCAGGGCCGAGCCCAGCGGGGCCGAGCCGAGCCCGGTGGGGCAGAGCCGAGCCGGCAGGGGCAGGGCCGAGCCAGCGGGGCAGAGCCAAACTCAGCGGGACAGAGCCGAGCCCAGCGGGACAGAGCCGAGCCCAGCGGGAAGAGCCGAGCCCAGCGGGGCAGAGCCGAACCCAGCGGGGCAGAGCCGAGCCAGCCGAGCCGCGGCATCATGCTGGGCATGGTGAAGAACTCGCTGCTGAGCACGGTGGAGGCATGGCCCTACCGCCTGCTGAGCAAGGGCGAGAAGGTCTGTGCCGGGCGGGTCTGCGCTGAGGGGATCGGCCCCGGGCAGCGCCATCCTCCTGGCAGCGCCTCCATCCCCATCTCCTTCCCCAGGATCAGGTCAGCTACGAGGAGAGGACGTACGAGGGCGGGAAGTTCGCGGCGGTGGAGCTGGTGGGGAAGCCGTTCGACGAAGCCTCGAAGGAAGGGGCAGTGAAGCTCCTCAAGTACGTGGGAGGAAGCAACGACAAGGGTGAGGATGCTGCCGGCCCCGCGGGCTCGGCGGGTGTTGGTGGTTGAGGCTTGGTGAGAGCGGGACGGATGGGAGCAATCAATGGCACTGCAGGCCCGCCTGGCTTGTGGCTCCTGGCACGGGGAGTCTTTGATGGGGATGGCCCCTCACTGATAAAAGTAAATTTATAACAGGCTAAGTGGTGCCCAGCCAACTCATGCTGTGAGTCCGCTTATAACCCGTCTCTGTCTCAGGATGAAATCTCAAAAATTATTTGTTTAAACAGGAATGAGTTACCTTGCAGCTGGGATAACATGAGGACAGGCAGACAGGTATCTATCACAGCTCTCTGGGTGAGCAGCAGCTGATGAAATCCAGGATATCTGGGACACTTCAGTTCTATGATGTGCCCTTGTGGGCAGTGAAATAACAGTTACGACCTTGATATTTTATCTGGCTATTTTTATTCATGAAAGGGTAATGAACAATGAGCTTCCTTTATAATGGTATATTTTAATGTTTTATGGCAGTGCTTCCAGGTGATTGCTTCTAATTCTCATCTTACTAAAATGTGCACATTTTAACCATTCATAGCAGGAGAAGACTACAGAGTAGCTCTGAGGCATATACATGTTCTCAAACACCTTTCTCCAGCTTCTAGGAGAGGGATTAGTGTAATCTCTATAGGAGAAGGAGGTGGATGTAGAGGGAAATGGCATTTGCAGCAAAATTCCTCAAAAGGTGATGACTGCTGTTGCTGTAGTAGAAAGGGTGCCTTTTGTAACATGTGACACAAACACAGGTATGACATCAAAGGAAAATAGATGAGAAAGATGGCTTGATCTCAGCTGCTTTTTTGGCTGCCTGGTCATCAGGTTTAGAGGTTCCCTACTGCTGCAAGAAGAGTGAAGAAAACTGGTCTTCAGTGCCATGTGGTACTTCTTGGTGGTAATGAGTAGGAAAAAACCTTGCTGTTCCTGGAGTGTGGAAAGCATGGACAGTCCTGCTGAAAGCCATAACAGCACTGAGGTTTGGGGCACTGGGACTTGTAGGATGTCTGGAAGCATTTGGGAGGTTTTAAGAGAAAGCTCCTGTCCCCCAGTATTGGCTGTGGGCTCACAACTAAGTGTGGATAGTATTAATTTAAATACTGATGTAGATTTATATGTGCCACTGGCCTGCCCTGGAGCTACAGATCCTGCTGTCTTACAACTGATTTGTCAGAAGAACAGAGTGTCTAATAGAGCCACAAAAGCAGCACCATTAATAAAAAGTATTCCAGAGGTCAGTTGGAACCCTTTTTTCCCAAGCTTCTGGTGGGGAGAGGGAGCTTGGCCCAAGCAGAAGCCTGATGATGGCTGTTCTGCTTCCCCAGAGGAGCCCTCTCCTGACAAGGAGTTTGTCCATATGAGGAGTTTTCCAAAACTAAAATTAACTTTTGTGAAATCCCTGTTAATTTTGTGAGTTCCTGAGGGCCTAGACTTCTTTAGCAATGTCTGTTTGTCTGTTTCAGGGGTTGGAATGGGCATGACTGCTCCTGTCTCCATCACTGCTTTTCCTGCTGAAGATGGCTCCTTTCAGCAGAAGGTGAAAGTCTCTCTGCGGATCCCGAGCCAGTTTCAAGACAGCCCTCCATGTCCTACTGATGAAAGCATTAAGATTGAAGAAAGACAGGGGATGACCATTTATTCCACGTAAGGGATGCATCCTGGGACCTCCAGCCTCAAGTGATGAGGTCTTTAGGGTGCTCTGATAAGCAGTGTTTGTTTTACCAGGGGACTTGCTGTACAAGGGGTGCATGTGGCAGAAGGAGAAGGAGGAGTATGTCTAGACTGAAGACAGGTGTCTTCAAAAAAGACACCTGACAAAAAAATGTCACTTCTTACCGCTGGTCATGCTGCATTGATGTGGAATATGGATTTTTTTTCCACTGGGTTAACAAGCATGAAGGCTAGCCCTGAAAGATACTGTGCCATTTCTATTGCATGAATCTATTGTTTTTCCCCACTTTCTGGGTTCCAGATTGTTCATAGTCATTAAGAATGCTCTTTGGTGCGGTTCACAAACTGTCCACTGAAGCTTCATTCAGATGGACTCATACCAGACTCCACCATGGAAACAAGCAGCTGCTGCATTGCTTCAAGTCACCTTTGAATGTCTTCAGAGGTTGACTGACAGCCTAGACTCAAACTAGCATCACAACAGCAATAAGCTTTTCACCTTGTCTTTACCCTTTGGAGGTTCCCCTGCCTACTTTCTTGAACTATTTTGGCTGACTGACTCCTTTCTTGCCTCCAACTGCTGCTTGGCCTTTGCTCTGGGTGTGGGCCACTTCTGCAATATCAGCCTGTTTTGTCTCAAATTTCTGTCCTGAGGGAGGGTGGTGAGGTGCAGGCTGGCATGGAAACAGTTCTTGTTGGTGGGAGGTCAGCATAAACCAGACCCATTTCAGTCCACCCCTTTTAAATGGCATTGTGTTCTGTAATTGCCAATTGTGTGTTCCTACCTCCCCTTTATCTTGGGCTAGCTCGAGTTTGGCTTTCCTTCATGATCTTTCCAGCAGACGGTTGTTCTCACCACAGTGAGCATGGTTGTTGACAGCTTTGGTGGGGACTGTGGGCTGAGCTGACTTGGAGATAACCTTGTATTTTAGAAAGTTGTTTCTCTGATATGGTGCTGATTCACAGGGCAGGGCCATTTTGCCGGCTGACATACATGGGACTGTTTAGGGGGGATCCCTTTGGGGCCTCCCAATGGATGACTGCCCAGGGACTTGCGTTATTGTGTTTGGTGGACCCAGGTAGATTTTATCTCATGCACTTGTCAAGTTGCTTGTCACCCTTGGCTGTGTCACCCATGAGACTTCATTTGTCCCAGATGAAGTGTGCTGCTTCACAATGAACAGTGCACACATGAGTGAGTTCATGTTGGCAGAGCCTGGATCAAAATGCATGTCTAAATATACTGTGGCTATTTATTGTTCTCTCTCTCTTCCTTCTTTGCTTTTCCAGGACTCCATACCTCTCTGGTTTCTTTGCAGGCAGTTTGGTGGCTATGCCAAAGAGGCAGATTACGTGAGCTATGCTTCCAAGCTGAAGGCTGCTCTGGGGAGTGATGCTGCCTACCACAAGGATTCCTACCTGTGCAATGGTTATGACCCGCCCATGAAGCCTTACGGACGCCGCAATGAGGTCTGGTTTGTGAAGGAGTGAACATCTGGCTCCCTGTGGTGCTGCCTTGCTCTGATAACCTCCCTACACTATGTCCCTGTCCTCTTTGTAAAATAAACTAAGAATTCAACAAAGGCAAAAAACTATCACTGCCTTTTTCCATGCCTTAGTCTTTTATGGACCATTCAAGTCATTTTAGAAGAACACTTGCTGACCCTCGTGACAGTGCTGCTCCTTCATTCCAGACCAGGTCCTCAGCCACACAGACTCTCTTGATCTCTCTGTGGCTTGTTTTTATCTCCTTTGTGCTTCCAGAGTTCAGTGCTGAGAAAACCAAAAGCACTTAATTGGCTGGTGCCTGCCAGGAGTCACGTCCAAGTGTAGGCAGACTATTAGTCTCACCTGAGACCGGCAAGGGAACATGACAAAAGTGCATACAGAGACTTTTTTATCTCTTTCAGTTTTGCTGCAGCTGTAAAATGCTGCTTTTATCTTTGCCATTCCACAAACAATCTAAAGGGACACGGGCATTGCTGCCAACACAGCATAGAGAAAATAAACATCCTTTACATTAATTCAGAGTGTGCAGAAGATCAGCACTTCTGTCATCTGTCTGAGAAATGCCATTCAGAGAAACATCCAGATTCTATTTGCAGCTTTCTTTTGTTTGAGGAGAGATGTGTGCTGTGTTTCATCTCAGCTAGCAGCTGGACAGTGTGACCTGGAGACCTCAAGATTGTTTCCTCACCTTCCTATTACTTTTGTGTAGCATTTCTTTAAAACTAGCCTTATGCAAGGGCCAAAGCAGAAATGTGTGTGGTTATCTAATTGAATTAGAGAAATGCAAGGCTGGGGAGAAAGAAGATGCTTATTACTTGTGATCTGAGAGTGCGTTTGAAGAATGGTGGAAATATGGTGAAACTACCATAGGTGCCAATCTAAAAAACTTTTCTTAAAAGGTGTCAATTTTTGAAGGGCTACTCAGACCAGCTGTTTTCTTTAGAGAAGGAAAAGGAAAACATGGAAAACAGGACTTGGGTCAAATAATCAGTAGCCTTTTGGAAACTTCGAATACAATTGCAAGTGTGGGTCATGTTTCAGGAAGAGTGGCAATGTTGAAATGTCAGGCATCAAACCAGCATTTTAGCTGTTGGCTCTGCCAGGGACACACCAGAGTGCCCACAGTGGGAGCACTCACCCTGCTGCTGGGTGTGTGCAATGCATTACCTGCACTAAAAGAGGTGTGCTCCTCTGGTGGTGAAGTGCCCCACAGTTCAGGTGCTTTCCAAAAGCCATTTTCCCCTGGAGCCGAGAGAGACATTTGTCAGCTGGCATTGTGGCTTCTGGCTGCTCAAGCTGTTGCACGTGCGCCTGCTTTCTGAGAACAAATCTCAGCAGGAAAAGGAGAAAACCTGAGGTTTTGATGTGCTTTCCTTTTCTCTCTTGCTGAGCCATATAACAGCTTTGCTGTGAGCTTCACGAGAGTTTCAGTCACCTGTGTGCAAGAGCAGCTAGTTCAGGATGGGTAAAAGGAGCAGGTAGCATTTAATTAAGCAAAAACCAAACAACAATGACAGGGAAAAGCTATTGGCTGTGGTTAGTAATTGCAGTGCAGGAGAGGAAGAATAAAAGATAAATCAAGACAAAAAATTTGGCTTTTGAAGGAATTTTTGAAATAGCAAATATCCTTTTAAGCTTGTACCTGAATCCAAAAGGACTGTTTATGTCCCAGATTATTACAACCTGTGTGGGTGAGGAATGGAGGAGCACAGTATTGTCAGTTTGTGCCTTTCCAGGTTCGTTTGGAGCTTTTGTGGATACAGTCTGGCAACCTGTGGTGAATGTCCTTCAATAATCAAAACCTTGAAATTTCTCAAAATTTATCTTGTGAAATCTCAGATGCCAGTAATAAACCTGGTATAACCAGAGCTGCAGAGCTCAGCAGTATTGGGGGTTCTTTTATAAAGTGCATACCCTCTGAACAGAGAGTGAGAGTTTCAGATCCAAGAGTGAGAGTAAACATCTGTAGGCTCTGCCTGTGCAGCCCTGCTACTGGCCTTTTGCACCAGGCAGGCAGGATAGAATTTCATAAACATTGTTAAATAATGTCAAAGCCTTATGCAAACTGAATTGCCTTTTCTGTACACACAAAGATGCCTGTGTTTTGTCTGCATTTTCTAGTTTTGAGATAAATAAATAAATAATAATATTGTGATTTACAGCTTCTGTTCTGATCACTGACTTTGTGAGCTCAGTAGGAGTAGCTGATTTGCTAGACCATAGGTTGCCAGTTTATCTTTCTGTTTGGGGTACTAATCATGTCACAGCATTTATAAATAGTCATAATGCTTTTTCCAATAAATCACTATTTTGGGTATCCTGGCGTGGCCCTGCATTATCTGACTGTGAGAGACAGGAGCTAATGAAATAATCTCCTTTATTTGTTCCAGCCATTGAGAGGCTTTGAGCAATGTATTTGTGTTAATGTAGAAACAAGGGGCCTGCTTACCTGAGGAAAATTATGTGTTCCTGTGGCTGGGGTTTACAGGCAGTGAACAAAAACATATAATGCTCAGGCAAATACTGGTGATTGATTTTCAACATGATCTATGACCCAGAAGTGCTAGACATTTTGTCCCATTGAGGTCCATCTAGCTTGGTGCCATGTCCAGTAGTGGACACCTGAGACGAGATTACAGGAACAGTGCAACTGTGAGCTCAGAGCTCCTCTAAATATTTCCCTGCCTCTAGTATGATGTAGCTCAGGGATTTTTGTTATTGTGCTTGGTGGACCCAGGTAGATTTTATCTCATGCATTTGTCAGGTTGCTTTCTAGAAATCAGGTAAAGTTACTATCCATGGCATCCTTTTGTCCTTGGTTATGGAAAGGTAGAAACGCTCTTTGTCTGAGGATTTCCAGCAGGCTGTCACTCTGCTCCTTAGGCAGCTTTTTTATATGCCTCTGTCACTGCAAGTGAATGTTTGTTTGGACAGCCAGAGTCGCTGTTGACATTGGAGGATTTCCAGCCACCTCTTTGTGCTGGGGCCAGAAGTCAGAGGTGTGTTCTGGATTTTGACCCAAGGCCAGCATGGCCACAGACGCTGTTACATGCAGCGGACTCCTGAACTGGTGTTAAAATAAAAACATTTTTCGCCATCCCCTGCAGTATCTCTGAGAAGTTGGAGTGCAGCAGATTATCTAGAGACCTCCTAGCTTCTCTTCTGCACCTGTGCAATGTCCTTTTCTGTCTCCAGTGAATGCTGAAATGGAGAGATTTTGGTGTTTTTTAGCTGTTCAACAGGGCACCATGGCATTGCCTGTTGCGTGTTGGTTTAAGAAGACAGTGCCAGGGAACTCAGAGGTGGATGTTTCTCTGTGCTGAGGCCCCTCAGTGCTGCCAGAGGTCGCCTTGCTGGGTTGTTGGGATGTGGTGGCTTTGTGCATCACACCCTGCATTGCTGCCCATGGCCCTTTTCCCATCGCCTCGCTTGTCAGGGCACTGGAACAGCTCCACAGCCGCCTGTGCTGCCTGCTGGGCTGGACGGGCTCAGCAGGGGAGTGGCCTTGGGAATTATCTCGGCCTGCCAGAGACAGGACTGCCCTTGCTGCTTATTAGCAGCTGGGCAGGTCCCTCCCAGTGCTGTGCAAAGCAGTGGTATGATGGCACAGGACTGGCCACAGGAAGGGCTGCGTTTTAACAGAGCCAAATTTAAAAGCATAATTTTGATGGGAATTATACATGTGCCATGTAGATTTAGCTGTGCTGGATATACAACCTTCCTAAGCTACTCCACTTGTTAGTGAGGAATTTTCCTGCTGGTATTAACCATGCCAAACCCTATATATTTTTATATATATATACATGCATATGGGTATAAATGTATGTATATGTGTATGCAGACCAGCTACTTTGATCTATTGTTTGGCTTCTGTAGTCACTGAATAACTCACTAGAGCGAATGCAGCGCCAGGGCGAACTTTTGCAGGCTGAAGTTTTAAGACTGCTAGAATGAGAGCTTTGTTAGCTTCAGAAAAGAATACTTTACTTTGTAGACACATGCTTTAATATATCTAACACTGCATTAAGAGGATGACAGCCCTTATAAAAGAGCTAATTGGTTAAGTTGTCCATATACATCTTGCCAGACTTATAATACTCCAGTCACTTTGAGGGGATGGGTGATCTATGGTGAGTGAGGAAGTAACATCATTATTTCCCCATTTTCATCAATCCCCGTGGCAAAGAGCGTGTGAGCAGCTATTGTGCTTATGGTCACAAATTTTCAGTTTTGCAATGCTGCCCCAAGGCGATGGGTCAGAGCAGGAAGATTGTGGCTCCTAGCTCACGTCGTCCCTCCCTATTTAATTACAATAATACTTCTTTTAGAATAGCACTCTGAGCAGCAGCTCTCTTTCTTCTGTGACAGCATTTCAGCCACTCTGAGCTAAAAAAGAAATGCATCTCTTTTAACAGGACCATAAGTAGCTTTGGATGTATAACGCCTCCATAAAACTGCTTGGCAACATGATTTATTAGAACAGGATCAGTGGTAAAAGTGACTTCTCTGACAGTAATGGATGAAACACTTCCAGCATAGCTACTCTGTCTCTGCTTGGTGCCTATGCCAACAGCAGGCTGGTTTTGTCAGCTCATTCATAATCTCTGCTTTGCTCTCAGCAGAATCCGTTGCACAAGACAGGTTTCAGCCGTGGCAGATGCTTTTTTCCTAGTCCTCTGTGGGAGCTGCTGCAGAAGATGGGTCAGTGCAAATGCTGCTGGATTCCTGAGACTGTCTGCTTAATTCTGCATCCAGACCCTACACCTAGGTGGGAGGTGGGTGCATGCCACCCCCATACTCCTCACTGCTGCCCACCCCCATGAAGAGACATTTGAGTGGCTGGGGTGAAAGGAGCTGCACTGCTCTTTGAGTGTGAAGTCTGACTGATCAGCAGCCCAGGTCCCAAGGGAGTCTCAAATGTATCTTCTGTGCAGTCCCTGTGAGAACACAGAGTTGAGAAGCCTGAATCTAAGGGGCAGATTTTTAAAAGTACCAGTGGAAGTGAAAGATCCCAGAAACCACATCCTGCAGTACACCATGTGCTGCAGCAGCCTGATCTGCATTGTGACCTGAATGACCTTGGGTGTGCAAAGTGTCCCCGGCAGTGTGACCCAACTCTGGGGCTCCTTCTGGTGGGGCAGCAGAGCCCAGCCTGTGCCCCTGCACCACCCACCCAGCCATGCCTGGACTCGGAAGCTAGGTGGGTTCTAAGAGAGGTTGGGGTTTGGGATGTGTCTTCTTCAGCACATGAAAGCAGAGAAGGATTGCCATGGCAACTATGCTCAAGTATTTTTCCAGTGTTTTCCAATCTTATTCATTTTTTCTTATATCCCTGGTGTTTAATTTAAGGCCTTTCCTAATTGGAGTCCAACAAACCAATTGAAGTGAATTCTCTGATTAGACGAAAAGTTCAGACACCTTCCCACACAACTTGTGAAGTACAAGATCAACAGAATTGAATGTTGCTGTGAGTAAGAGGAGATCTGAAATTTGAAATGCATTGTACCCAGACAAATGGAATAAATGAAGCCTTTTACTTAAAGCAAAGCATTGAAATAAAAGATAGTGTACAGCATGACAATTTTGGACACTCCCTTGGTGGTAGATCTTTCTAGGCTGTTTAAACCCTGATTATAGACCTTCTCAATCTTCTTTATGACTCAGCTTTGTGAAGGAACATCTTTCAAAATCAACATGTGCTGGCTCATTGAAGTACCTTTAACGAACTGTAGTGTTATTTAGTCTGGGTACTTTGAGGAGAATGGTTACTGCGATGATGTTGCTTTGGGTAATTACCATGCCTCTCATTTTCCACCACCTTGCTTCCACTTTGTGTGTATTTTGGCTGGGATGGAGTTAATTTTCTTCACAGTAGCTGGTGTGGGGCTGTGCTTTGGATTTGTGCTGAAAACAGTGTTGATAATACAGGATCTTTTTGCTATTGCTGAGCAATGCTTA